GGGTCTTGCTATGCAGTTCAGGCTGGCCTTGAGCTCACTTTGTAGCCCAGGCTGGTCTCAAACTTACAATGATCTTCCTGCCTCAGCCTCCCGAGTGCTGGGATTACAGGCATGTGCCACCACACCTGGTGCAAAGTTATTTTATTCTGTTTATTTATTTATTTAGTTAGTTAGTTTTTTTTTTTTCCGGTACTGGGAATCTAACTCATGACCTCACGCTTGCCAGGCAGGTGCTGTGCTGCTGAACTAAATTCCCAGCCAATATTATTTATCTAGATTGCTGAGTTTTTGATGCTTAAATTTCCTCGTTAAGAGATACTTTCTTCCTTCTAGTTCCAGCTTTGGACATCAATATCAGCATATTTGGGGCCTCCTTGGAGCCACCAACCTCAGACTGTCTTATGTTTGACAGAAGAGAGTTAGGTCTTGTTTTTTAATCCAAACTGTTAATATCTGCTTTTTAATTGGGGTATTTAGATGATTTACATTTAATGTGATTATTAATATCGATAAGCTTGTGTCCATTATCCTGCAATTTATTTTCTATTTGTCCTATTTTTTCTTGCTCTTTATTTTTTCCCTCTTTTTCTGACTTTTCCCTTGGGGGAGGGATTAACTGAATAATTAAAAGTTTCATGATTTCCTTCACTGACTTATTAAAACTGTAACTTTTGTTTTCTGACTTTAGTGGTTGTTATAGGGTTCATAACTTGCATCTTCAACTTGTCATAATCTGCTGCTGTAGTCTGGATCTGAAAGGTTCTTCAAAGGCCCACATAGTCATGGCTTAGCTTGTTGCACTGGGAGGCAGTGGAAACTCTCAGAGATGGGGTCTAGTGAGAGCTTTCCAGCCATAGGAAATATGCCCTTGAGGGGGCTAGTGAGACCCTGCTCCTTCTTCTTTATCTCTTTCTTTCAATTCCTAGCCATGAGATGACTGGTTCTGCTCACCATGCACATCCCACCATGCTGTGCCGTTACACCACAGGCCCAAAACAATGGGACCAGCCAACCAAGGACTGGAACCTCTGAAACTGTGAGCCACAATAAATCTTTGTTCTCTATGAGTTGATTATCTCAGGTGTTTACAGCAATAGAAAGCTGATTTAAACACTTTCAAGTGATATCATGCAACTTCACATATAGTGTAAGAACTTTACAACAGAATATTCCCATTTTGTCCTTGTGGCCTTGATGCTATTGTCATACAATTTATTTTCACATATGTTATCAACCCCACACTAGAGACTCATTTTGCTTATACAATAATTTATCATTTTTTTTCCTTGTGGTATGGGGATTGAGCCCAAGACTTTCATACTGAGTTATATCCCCAGCCCTGTTTTTCTTTTGAGACAGGGTCTCACTAAATCACCAAGTTGCCCAGGTTGGGCTCAAACTTGTGTTCCTCCTGCCTCAATCCCCCAGAATTCTGGGATTAAAATCATATGATACCATGCCTGACTTAAACAATCACTTATCTTTTAAAAACATTCAAATAACAAAAGAGTTCACATATAGTTACCACCATTGGTTTGGCGATGTAGCTCAGTGGCACAAGCGCCTGCCTGGCAAGTGCAAGGTCCTGAGTTCGATTCCCGGTACCAAAAAAACAAAAACAAAACCACAGATAGTTACCACATCTGGCGCTCATCTTTGGTTTGTACAGGTCTGCAATTCTTTCTTATGTAATTTTCCTTCTGCTGCAACACTTTCTTTTTTTGCCTTTGAAATTTAAAGAAAAAATTTATTGAAGATCTGAAAAACAATTCCTAAAAGACTGACTTTTCCAGAAAACCGTAGCTACACAATGCATTGCGTCTATCATGTTAAAACGTGCATTAGACACAAATACAAAAACCATGAAATAATTCATCATTCTTCACCAATTTGAGCAAAGATAAAATGCCTAAGGAACAACATGGATGACTTGCAGAGGATGGGCTCTTTAAGCACTGTTAAAAAAAAGAACACAACTGGATGAGTGTGTTCAGTTGTATAGTTGGATTGGACCTCTGGCACTAGGAATCTGAGCATTTTGTCATAGAGCATTAACACGTATTATAAAAGTGCATAGTGTCAAAGGAATAGAACCACCAGCATTCAAAAGCAGCTTTGTCAGCTAGTCAATAAAACACTCTATACCATGTCTCTCTGTTGTCCATCACTGAATACACTGGTAGCAACTTTGAAATGAAAAAAAAGAAGAAAGGAGCTGAAATGCTGAAACCCCTTTTTATTCCTTCTGTTTAAAATCAAACAAAACAAACATCAACTGTTATACACTAACATCTTCAAAGTACACCATTTGTACAAGAGAAAGACTAGGAACAAAAACGTGTGGACAGAGATCCAAACACGGGTGAGAGCACCTCACACCACTTTCTGATGGTACTCAGGAGGGGCCACTTCATAATCACTGGCACTAAGCAAAGTTGCTGAATTCTTTGCCAGATATTTGAGGAAATCATGAAGATAATTCAGTAATAAAGCAAGGCTCTCCTCATCCAGAGGCATATAGGCCAACATTGCTCCAATTCGTACAAATAATCTCAGTAGATGTGGTGCTCTGTACACCCGGGACACGGGTGTGTCAGGGTGATCGGCAAGGATCTCAGCATATTGTGGTCTCTCAGATTTGTAGAGGAGCTGAGTGCCCAGCATTACATTGAAGTATTCTTTCATCCCTGCTACAACCTCGTTAATGGCATACTCCTTATTATCTGTGTTTCCTCGAGATTTCCTATAATCTGCATAGTCCTCTAGAATGGAGTTCACATTCTTCTTGGCAGGAAGATAAAAGAGCTGTTTCTGCCTGGTAATTAGGTTCCAGTCATCAACAAGCTATGATTTTAGCTCTTCAGGGATCTTTACTTTAACTTTAACTCTGTTCATAAATGTTTCTTCATTTTCAACAGTAGGATCATCCAGAGCCCTCTTCCAAGGAGGCTGAGGTGTCTCACTGGTACTGCCACCATCTCCATTACCAGGGGTTTTTTGTTTGTTCTTTTTAGTTTTTACTTTAACATTTTTCTGTTGCAGACAGGATGTCTTCTTTCCTGGAGCAGCCCCCTTTCATCTTTCCCTCTGCATATTGTTCCTGATTGGCCTTTTGAAGTTCTCAATGTTTCTGCAGATCGGTGTCCACATACTTGAGTACTCTGCTTTCTGGTACCCACTCATCCCAATTTTTATTGCAACCACTGTACTGTATAAAGTATTTTACTTGTTTGTCCTTTATGGCAACCTTTACAGACTTAGCTTCATAAATAAGAGGACCATGAAATTGCGATACTCGTTCACCCTCTTGGAACTTGGGTTTTGGGTCCTGCTTGGGCATCATTTATAAGTGAATTGCAGCCTCCTTCTCCCACCACCCCCGACTACTGCCCCCTCCTCTCTACCCCACCAGAGCTGGCATCAGATGCACTGTCAGGCACAGCCACTCTGCACCCTGGGCCCAATTCGCAAGCGCCCGCAGACCTCACAGTCTGCAACACTTTCATTAACATTTTTGTGGTGTAGGTCTGCAAGTTGTGAATTATTTCAGTGTCTAATTGTCTGAAAAAAAAATCATTATTTCTTATACTTTTGGAAGATATTTTCACTGGGTTTTAGAGTCTTAAGTTTATATATTTTTTTCCTTCTAGTACTTTTTGTTTGTTTGTTTTTCTTCCAGTACCAGGAATCGAACTCACAACCTTGCACTTGCCAGGCAGGTGCTTTGCTGCTGAGCTAAATCCCCAACCCCTCTTTCTGGTACTTTAAAGATGTTGTTTCATTGTCTTTTCTTTGCGTTGTTTCCAGTGAGAAAGCTATATCATCCTTAAAATTTTTTGGTAATTTTTCTATTATTTTTACCTTGGTAAAATACATAGGACATAAGATTTACCATGTTAACTGTTTTTAAGTGCACAATTTAGGGGTAGCAAGTACATTCATGTTATGTTGCAACCATCACCACCATCCATCTCCTGCACTTTCTCAAACCGAAACTTTGTCCTTATGAAACACTGACTCCCTACTCCTACCCCAGGTAGATGCTCTTCATTTCTTTGTATAGTTCTGTAATTCCTTCTTATCTAATTTCGCTTCTGCTAAGACATTTTATTAACATTTTTGTAGTGTAGGTCTGCAAGTGTTGAATTATTTCAGTGTTTGAATGTCTGGAAAAAAATCATTATTTCACCCCAGCATTCACCATCTTCCTTTCTGTCTCTATGATTCTGACAACTCTAGGGACTTCACAGAAGTAGAATAAAATATTACTTGTCCTTTGGGGTCTGGCTTATTCCACTGAATATAACATCCTCAAGGTCCATCTATGTTGCTGCTTGTGTCAGAATTTCTTTCCTTTTTAAGACTCATACTCCCTTGTATGGATGGACCACATTTTGTTTATCCATTCATCTGCCAGAGCACACCTGAGCTGCTTCTACCCCCTGGCTATGGTAAACAATGCTGTTATAAACACAGCTGTAAAATATTTTGTATCATCCTTATTTTTAACTCCTCTGTACATAAGTTACTCTTTTGTATATATGTGAATGCCTGTTTTTTTCTCTGGCTACCTTTAGGATTTTTTTCCTTACTACTAGTTCAAGCAATTTGATTAAGCTGTATTTGGTATTGTTTTCTTCCTTAGGGTTTGTTGAGCTTTGTGGATCTGTAAGCTTATTATTCTCATAAAATTAAGAAAAAATCTCACACATTTCTCCCTTCAAATATGTTTTTTGTCTTCTCTTTCTCTCCTTTTATGCAGGGGTTCCAGCTTCATGTATATCAGACCACTTCAGTGGTAGTTGTTATTCAGTTGTTAGATCTCACTCTTTCTTTCTTTTTCTTTTTCTTTT